AAAAAAAAGAGAGAAAATCAGTGAGTGTTTATGCAAAAGAAAGTGATGTTAAGGCTGCGTTCTTTGCGAACCAGCCTATGTTTGTGCTTCTATATAAAGATGCTTATTTCAACACTAACGAACTTAATGATTCTTTGCCTAATGTTGTTAAATCTCTTTTGCAGGACTTCAAGGATGTGTTTCCAGATGATGTTCCTAATGGTTTACCACCAGTAAGAGGAATCGAGCATCAAATTGACTTCATTCCTGGTGCAACAATTCCAAATCGACCAGCATATCGAAGCAATCCAAATGAGACGAAAGAACTTCAAAGGCAGGTCGAAGAACTCATGAAAAAGGGACATGTGAGAGAAAGCATGAGTCCATGTGCAGTACCAGTGCTACTTGTGCCTAAGAAGGATGGGACTTGGCGTATGTGTGTTGATTGTCGCGCGGTCAACAAAATCACTGTAAAGTATCGTCACCTTATTCCTAGATTAGATGACATGTTAGATGAGTTGCATGGTTCTTGCATATTCTCTAAAATTGATTTAAAGAGTGGATATCATCAGATTAGGATGAAGGAAAGAGATGAATGGAAAACAGCCTTTAAAACGAAACATGGTTTATATGAGTGGTTAGTTATGCCGTTTGGATTAACTAATGCGCCTAGTATATTCATGCAATTAATGAATCATGTTTTGCGTGCTTTCATTGGCAAATTTGTGGTTGTTTATTTTGATGACATTCTGATATATAGCAAGAATTTAATTGAACATATTGAGCATGTGCGAATGGTACTAGAGGTGTTGAGAAAAGAAAAGTTATTTGCTAACCTTAAAAAGTGTTTCTTTTGCACAAATCAGATTGTTTTTTTAGGGTATGTTGTTTCAGCTAATGGAATCGCAGTAGATGAAGAAAAGGTTAAGGCTATTAAAGAATGGCCAACACCTAAAAATATTTCTTAGGTGTGGAGTTTTCATGGTTTGGCAAGTTTCTACCGGAGATTCATCAAGGATTTCAGCACAATTGCAGCACCGTTGACTGAAATTGTGAAAAAAAGTGTTGGATTTAAGTGGGAAAGTGAACAGGAGAATGCTTTCAATTTAATTAAGGAAAATTTAATTTCTACATCGTTACTTGCTTTACCTAATTTTACTAAAACTTTTGAAATTGAATGTGATGCATCAGGTATTGGCATTGGTGCTGTTTTGATGTAAGAGCGGCGACTTATTGCATTTTTCAGTGAAAAATTGGCTGGTGCAGCACTTAACTATCCTACTTATGACAAGGAGATGTATGCATTGGTAAGAGCTTTAGAGACATGTCAGCATTATCTTTGGCCTAAGGAGTTCGTGATACATACTGATCATGAGTCATTGAAGCACCTGAAGGGACAAGGTAAGTTGAATAGACGACATGCTAAGTGGGTGGAATTCCTTGAGATGTTTCCCTATGTGATCAAGTATAAGCAAGGAAAGGAAAACATTGTGGCTGACGCATTATCTCATAGGTACACACTTATCTCTACCCTAAGTGCAAAGTTATTAGGTTTTGAGCACATTAAAGAATTATATGCTAATGATCCAGATTTTGCTAATGTGTTTAATGCATGTGAGAAGATTGCTTTTGATAAGTTTTATAGGCATGAAGGGTACTTGTTTAGAGAAAATCGATTATGCATGCCTAACTGTTCCTTAAGAGAATTGTTAGTAAGGGAATCTCATGCGGGAGGCTTAATGGGACATTTTGGAGTTAGAAAAACTTTAGATATTCTGAATGATCACTTCTTTTGGCCACACATGAAACGTGATGTTGAAAGGATCTGTGAAAGGTGCATAACATGTAAACAAGCAAAATCTAGAGTTTTACCACATGGTTTGTATACTCCTTTACCCATACCTACTGAACCTTGGGTTGATGTGTCTATGGATTTTGTTTTGGGCTTACCAAGGTCAAAAAGAGGCCACGATTCTATTTTTGTTGTTGTTGACAGGTTCTCAAAGATGGCAAACTTCATTCCATGTCATAAAACTGACGATGCAACCAATATTGCGGATATATTCTTCAAGGACGTTGTTCGTTTACATGGCATTCCAAGGACTATCGTTTCTAATCGCGATGTCAAGTTCTTAAGTTACTTTTGGAAGACATTGTGGGGAAAGCTGGGAACTAAGCTACTGTTTTCAACTACTTGTCATCCACAAACTGATGGACAAATAGAAGTGGTTAATAGGACATTGTCAACCTTATTGCGTTCTATTATTCAGAAGAACTTGAAGAACTGGGAAGAGTGTTTGCCGCACGTTGAATTTGCTTATAATCGAAGCATCCATTCGGCAACTAACTGTTCACCATTTGAAGTTGTGTATGGTTTTAATCCACTCACTCCTTTAGATTTATTGCCTTTACCTATTGACGAACAAGCTAGTTTGGATGGGAAAAAGAAAGCTGACGTGGTTAAGCAATTGCATGAGAGGGTGCGACAAAACATAGAGCGACGAATTGAGCAATATGCAAAACAAGCCAACAAAGGACGCAAGAAAGTTGTATTTGAACCTGGCGATTGGGTTTGGGTGCATATGCGCAAGGAGCGATTCCCCGCACAAAGGCGTTCTAAGCTGTAACCAAGAGGCGATGGACCATTTCAAGTGATTGCAAGGATTAATGACAACGCATATAAGTTGGAGCTTCCTGGTGAGTATAATGTTAGTGTTACTTTTAATGTTTCTGATCTTTCTCCTTTTGATGTAGGTGACGATTTGAGGACAAATCCTTTTGAGGAAAAATCCTTTTGAGGAGAGAGGGAATGATGGGAATCAAGACGACAACATATCTACCACGTCATGTGATCCATTACACACCTAAGGAGGTCCAGTCACGCGAGTTAGAGCTAAGAAGATGCGTGAAGCTTTAAATGGCCTTATTTAGCAGATCTGGGTTGAAAACAACATACAACAAGCAAATCGGATCTTGGATGATTATCAAGGCATGATAAACATCATTCAGGTTCAAGAGAAGCTTAATTGAGGCTATTTGTGCTAAGTTACACAGTTTGCGTCAATCTCGAAATTCTGTTAGGCTACTTTTAGTGATTTTCACATTTTTTATATTATTTTGGGCTGAACATTCATTTATTTAAGGCCCAATTCGTGGTTATTATGATTAGGGCTTAGGGTGTTAGTTTCCTATTCTGATTAGAATTACTTTTCCCTATTTAAAGAGGCTTGTAACCCTAATTGGGGAGGCTATTGAATCTGAGATTTTGAGAGACTTTTCTCTTTGGTTCATTTTAGAACTTTATAGAACTTATCAAGATTATTCTTGTGGCGTTCTAACCTGACTTATCGTTCTTGTTCTTAATCGCTCGAGGGTGTGGCGTCAACCAACTTTATACCTCTGGTTCTTGTTGCGTCATAGACAATGGGTCAAGGTTTTTACCTTTGGTTCTTGTTGCGACATAAACAATGGGTTAAGGTCCTATTATAAACTTGATTTAGCTTTCCTGGAGTTTAGAAATCCCTTGTTGTGCTGTGGGTCTCATTGTTCTCTTTGGGGTTCTCATCAACTGGCTTATTGTTGGGTCAACATTTCCAGTGGTGGTGAAGTTGTAGAGTCGATACCGGAAGAACAAGTAGTCTATTTGTCCATGGTACGTGGAGTAAATGTGCAAATAAGGATGTTAAATTTATATATATATATATATTTAAAAATATTAATTTTATTAATTTTTAAATAAATATATCAATTTTTAATTTTTTCTAAATAAAAATATCAACTTTTAATTTCTTTTAAGGATATTAACTTTTAACTTTTTCTATTTAAGAATTAATTTGGTGATGATGCTAACGTGGCTAACGTATTTTTTTAGGTTAAATATCTGAATTAATCCCTTAACTTTTATTTTTGAACCAATCCATCCTTGAACTTTAGAAAGTATCGAAAACATCCTTCAACCTTAATTTTCAACACCAATTTTGTTATTCCGTCAGTGTCACGCCCCAGGACCCAAATCTGGGGTCGTGGTAGACGCCGTGCACTCGTGAGTGAGGCCCACAAATGCACAAGGCTCAAGACCTACTGAGTTCTTACTTAGTAATTCAGATTTAAGCATTTTAATCTACCAAATAGTTACCAGTCGGATGTACAAAATTTTTCACTTCATATATACAATCATGACTAACACTAAATTCTGTACACAAAATTTTCTATGTCAAGCATGGGTGACTAACGGCTTAGCTACAAAAACCTAAGTCCAAAAGTGCCTAGCCGTCTAGCTCGTCACTCCCCCGGGCTTCCCACGCGTCGGGTCTCACTACCTGAAATGGTGGACAAGGAAAAGTTTATGAGATAAAACTCAATAAGTAGAATATGGAGTGCCCTTAATTAAAATTTGAAACATGCCAACGAGTACAATCACGGAAACAAATAAGGTACAGGAGCGAAATAGACGTCTCCTCTATAGGTCATGGCCAGTGTTTAAACCTCCCACTGGCAGGCAACAGAAATTGCTAGTGTTTAACTCCCACTAGCAGGATTACAGAAACGAACCGGTTCTATCAGGAACATGTCGACATGTGCTAGCGTTTAAACCTCCCACTAGCGGGCAACAGAATAACATGATCATATCGGAGACAAAACAGGCTGAATTTAACAGAAAATCATTCTTTACAAATAACTTTTAATTCATCGGGACAATCACATGAACTTCAAGGAGGCATGCTCAAATCCATAAAAATCATAAAAATTTCCAGTTCAAATCAGTCATACTTATTTTATATAAAACGGGTTTAGTCCCGCCACCATTTCAAAAACAAATCAAATTAAAATGTGCTTTAAAATCGGAGGGCGTTACCATAATCTACTTACCTTAATCACGCAGACAAAAGGCTTAATCCAAGTGCTAGGATCACGGGGCAATCAAGAACCTAATCACAATATTCCCAAAGTAATATCTATAAGGAAATTTTATTTCTTTATTTATTTCCTATCCAAAATTGGGCATTCACTGGGATTGGGTATTTATCTATGTATATTCAATTATAAGATTACACATATACAATTTTCAAACTCATGGACAAGAATTTGGGAGAACCGGCCTTGACAAAAAAATGGCCAATTCACAGAATTCTCCCTTTTTCCTCTCGGACACACACACAACAGCCAAGCCAAGGATTTCCTACTTAAATCATCAACCAATCCATTTTCAAATTGCCAAAACCCATCCCCATTTCAACAGAATTTTCAGACAACCCTAGCTCAATTCATACAACCACTTTAACTCACAAATCAGCACTTAATCAACCAATTTTCGGAGATTAGAAAAGCCAACTTACCAGGAATGCTCAACAAGCAAAGCTGGAGCTAGCGGTAAAGGGAAGAGCCGGCGGGAGAATTGCAGGGGAGCTTCACGCAGACTTCTAGCAATTGAGAGAAAGGAGAATTAGAGTAACTCACACAAACTAAAGCTGAAAAGAGGAATTTATGGGCTGGTTTTACCAGGAAGAAAACCAGCAGCAGCCGGCGGCAAAGGGGGAGGAAACAGAGCAGATCCGGCGGCTTTTCTGCAAAAGAGAGAGGTTCTAAGTCCTAGACTTGTTCTTGGGCAAGAGGAGAACAAAAATCATCAAGTTCTCTTACCAATTTTTTTGCAGATGGGGACGCTGGAAATGCTGGTGATGTTCGGTAGCAGCAGGGAGAAGAAAACAGAGCAGACGCGAAAAATGGCTGGAAGAAAGAAGGAAGGAAGAAGAAAAAAATAAAAGGGATGAGTCAGCCGGCCTTATCCAATAAGAGTTTAACCCCTTTGAAGTTTGAAAAATTGACAGTTAGGTCCATTAATAATGTTTCTTCATCATTAAGTCCCTAACTCAACTTAATATGCTTGAAATTTTTGGGGTATTACAGTCAGTTAAGTGCTGATGTAGTTAATTTTTCCACTAAGTAATTGACTATTTTACGTTTTCAATATTAGGTTCAAAATCCATTATGTAAAAGATGTTATGTGGATTTTTTTAATTTTAAATAATTTAGAAACTACTTTAATTCTTAATTTTACTTTATTTATATTTAAAAATTAAAACAATTAATATATTTTCCCATTTAATTAGTTCCACCTACCATAAGTAACTCTTAA